TAAGAACTAGTGATTGCTCATCCATACTGCATAAAAAGTACAAGAATCATAAGAACTCAACCAAAGATAGAGACTCAAACCCTTAAGAGCTAACTCCAACACTTTAATATCAGAACGTATGGCATAGTAATACAAAGCAAAATCATAAATTTCATTAATCATTTACACATCAAGTAGGTTTCCATCATGATATACCACGAAGTATCAGACAAGCCATATATTTTTTTAACAAAAAAAAGTCGGTCTCCAAATTAAGCACAACCCATGACAAGTATCAGACTTCATCTCTAAATTTCTTTAACAATGACCCATGACGAAACTTGTTATCAACCCATCATCCCAAAAATCAAATCGAGAGAAAAAAATTAGGGATTTGAAAGGTTTCAACAACTAATTGATTCCTTTAACAATGACTCATGAAGAAAATCACAGATTTACAAGCATCAAATTCAAATCGACCCATAAGGAATCGCAATAAAAAACAAAACAAAACAGAGATATGTCCGAACCTGGAGATTGAGGAGTTGAAGGAGAGACGTAAAAAGCTTGAGAGCAAAAGTCAAACTCAGGAGACAAGCACGAGGGAGAAGACGAGTATGAGCATATCGGAATCTCCAAAAACTCAGAATTTTTTTAGGGATCGACGCGAAAGGAAGAGACGAAGAGATAGGATGAAGAAAAATAGCAAAACGCCGTTGTATCAGTTTTTGTTCTTAAAACAAAAAAAAATTAAGCCCTGATAAAGCCCTATTAATTCCAAGGGTTAATTTAATTTAGGCCCGTTTTTAGCCCATTTTAAAAGGGTTAGGGCTAACCCTAGAAAGTTCAGCCCATTTTAACATCCCTATCGGAATCACATATTCGGCAAGTCTCCAAGTTGCATACCCAACCTCCGTTTCGATAAATCCACCACACCAAAACTTCTGTCATCGTTGCTGATTGCAGGAGCTTATTCTTCTTTTTAGTGTCCAATAAAGTCACTAGGCTTACTGACCCTTTTTTTTTTAACAATGACAAAAATAATTTGTGGTGGACCTATAGTATTTTAAAAGAAATGTTTTTTTCATTTTTTCTACCAGTCAAATCTTTATTAAAAAATTTCATATAAACGTAAAAAAATTTGAAAACAAAATTTACCAACGGGAGACA